TTTTTTATTTTAAAAATCTTTTTTTGTGTGTGGGCGGGGCCCAAAAAAAAATGCCAATCAAGTCCAGCCAAAGAACAGAAATTAAACAATAATGTACCTTCAACTTATCTTAGTAAGAAGAAGGGAAATAAATTTGGAGTTAAAAAACCTAAATACCCAATACACCAAATGAACGCAGAGGCCAGGAAAAAGGAAAAAAATAAGAATAACCAACAAAGGGCAAAAAAAAGGTGGGCCTCCTGAGGCAGCCTCCCAACAAAAATGGGAAGTGAGTGCCTGAGTCTCTGGGCGAGCTGCGGGCAAGAACAGAAAGCCAACAATAATTACAATACAAAGGGTAACCAGGCACTGAACCACACTACCCTTAAAATCCGGGCTCCACATGGCCTGTCGGTCTCGCTATGGGCCTGTAGAAGCCTCGCAGCCCGATCGGAAAGATAACGAAATTCAAAATGGCGGCCGGCCACGAGGCGCACTCAAAATGGCCACCAGCTCCGGCGTGACTACCCCAGAGACACCCAAACCCTCTGAAATCCACCAACGGCTGGAAAAAAAGGCAGAAAGAAATATGAGGGCTGAAAGAAGAAGCTCCCTTCTTCTAAGCGTTCGTGGGGGGAAGGCGCAATGCAGCACTATCTATAGTGCGATCTCAAGCCGCTTCTCAGCTGTAGCGCGGCTAGAAAAACGGCAGAGGAAGAGGAGGGGGGGGGCAACGGGCTCCAAACCCCCTATTTTCCCCCTTAAGGAGCGAAAAAGCTCCTAAACTAAACTTGGGACGAAAACTAAAAGCGCAGGGAACAAGGAGAAAGGAGAGATCAAACCTGAATTGCAGGAAAAAACGAAAGGAACCTGGATCGGCCAAGGAATAAGCGAACAGGCTGCCTGTCTCTAGCGAGGCTGAGCTAAAACTGGGGGAACGCATGGAGGAGTCACGTGGAGGAGGAGAAGCATTCCTCAATTATAGCTCAGCCTGTTAGAGTGAAGACTGGAGCACCTCCCACTGTCTGGATGCTCGCAGCAGCTCCACGGAGAAGCCAACGGACTTCTGTGGTTAGAGAAAAGTAATTATTGACATTTGTCTTGTTTCTGACCTGGCCCATCTTGAAAGACTTCATTTCTCAAGACCTTGCATCCTGCCTGCTATTTTGAGCTGCTTCTCTCGACAGTAGCCCAGAAAGGTATGAATTCTACTAACCTGCCCATTCCCCAACTCAACCAAGATTGATAAATTTTACTTTTGCCCAATTTTGTATCCCCTGCAAAAATGTAACATTTAAGAAACATTCTTTCCATCTCTTTTATCTTACTTATTAAAAAATATAGTTGAAAAATAGGGGACTCATGACTGAGGATTTTAATGTTTCAAGGAAGTCTTAATATTTAAAGCTTTTTTGAGAAAAAAAGCGATCAATGTGAATTTATTCATCCATCTCAAAAGTCATGTAAATGAGAAGCCAAAAATGTTGTACTGTATATCATAAACAGCAGGAACCAAAACACAGTAAAAACAAAAATAGAAAAATATTTATATATAAAATGTTTTAAATATATGTAAATTTGTTCCAGGAAAGTTTTAAAAAAGCAATAATTTTACTTTGATAACCTTGAACAAAGCATTTTTTTGGGGAGTTGAACTCAACTCCAGGGGATTTCACAAACAGATTTATGCAATAGTCTTGACATCAACATAAAAGAGGTTGCTTCATTAGGGATTTTTAAAATTTTTCCAGTCTAGTTCACAAGGGCTGGAATTCCTTCATGATCCCCCATCTAAGTACAAAGCAGCCCTAATCCTGCTTAAAATACAAAGCTCCTCCCTGTACTCAAAACATATGCCAGTATTAATCAAATTTAACTATGGTGGCCTGTTGATAATAAATGCTTATATGCTCCCAATGAGACAAAACCTTCAGATCTGTGGACTGAACTGATAAGATCACCTGAATGCTGCCACATGCTTTAACAAAATTCTTTAACAAAGAACTGATTGTACAGTTGGTTATTCTGCATTCTTGTAATATAGAATACAGAACATATAGCATTTTATCTTTTCAGGGGACTTTCTATGCAAATAGGAAATATATAATATTGAACAGAACAAAACAAACCTGGAAAAAAATATCTATGTAAGTTCAATTCAAGTTTTCTTGTTTCTAAAGAACCTGTTACCTTATTTTACTAAGGTTTGATTATTACCATAGATATCAAGTTGACTATAAATGAGATACCATTTCAGATGCTGCAGAATTATGACCCTCTTCATTCCCAGGAAATCATTTTAGTTGACTTCAGTATGTAATCAGGGAATGAAATTATTTATCTTATTAAGAGAACTCAGATGTCAACTGTTTATATGTCTCTATCCAGTCATCTATTTGCCTCAAATAAATGCAATATTATGTTAATTTGTATGCCTTCTGTACTCCAATGGAGACACTACACTGTAACAATAATAGGCGGCTTACTTTGAGAAATCCAGCATGGCCAATTCCCCTTCCTGTGGAGTTGGTTCTATTGAGGGGAAACCCAAACGGGGGAAGATACGTCTTACTAGAGAATTTCTTGTACAGATTTTAATATCTGACTATCTCATAATGTTCTATAATTTCAGAATGGATATTATCTATTGGAAAAGAAACAAAAATACAGCTGCAAGAAGATACAGATAGTCCTTGACTTACAACCATTTGTTGTAAGTTGAAGTTACAATGACACTGAAAAAGTGTCCTATGATCGTTTTTCACACTTACAACCATTGCAGCATCCCTATGGTCAAAAATTGGGCATTTGGCAACTGGCTATATTTATGATGGTTGCAGCATCCTGGGGTCATGTGATCATCTTTTGCAGCCTTCTAAAAGGCAAAGTCACCGGGGAAGCCAGATTCACTTAACAACCGTGTTACTAACTTAACAACTGCAGTGACTCACAGTGATTCACTGCAAGAATTGTGGCAAGAATAGTGATAATAGTGAAACAAAACTCACTTAACTGTCTTGCTTAGCAATGGAAATTTGGGCTTGTAGGTTGAAGACTACCTGTATTACATTGCAGAATAGCTTGTGCAAAAATAAAAATGTTGGGTCTCACGTATTACAAATAGAATTTAGAAGATTAAGATTAAGGTCAGGGATTACAATCAGCCCTGTGCTTTATTTTCTAAAAGTAAACTGTTATTGCTCTTTTGGTGCCTTCAAGTCAGACATGATTCCTGACAACTTTTGTGTTAATTTCCCTGGCAAGATTATAGATGTGGATTGCCATTACCTTCTTCTAGGATGGTTTCTGACTTCTCAGTATTTGGCTGAGAGGGAGTGGCTGACCGATGATCACTCAACTGGACTCCATGCCTAAGAAAGGATTAGAACCAAAGTCTTCCTGGTCCAAGTCCAGCACATTCAACACAACATCAAATGTGCATTGCACTTGAAAGCACCAAAAGTTTGGGTTCAAAAATTGCTGGAGCATTTCAAGGAGGACAGAGACAGAAAGGGGCCCAAAGCTGTAGAAATAGAAGAAGAGGACAATGAATAAATCCACCCTGAGGAAAACACACAAGCTCACTAGAGGACTTTGGGCCAGTCATTCTCTCTCAGCCTACCTCAAAAAGGATGTTATGAGAGGAATGCTGTACATGCTGCCTTGTGTTTCTTAGGAAAGGCAGGATATAATTTGTCAAATAAAGAGATTAGTGGAATGATGTGGACCAAGGGTGGCATTCAGCAGGTTCTGACCAGTTCTGGAGAACCGGTAGCAGAAATGTTGAGTAGTTCAGAAAACCGGCAAATACCACCTCTGACTGGAGATTTTACAGTATCCTTTCCCTGCCACGCCCACCAAGCCACGCCCACAGAACCTGTAGTAAAAAAATTTGAATCCCACCACTGATCTGGATAGTTATCATTTGCCTATGCAAGCACCAGGAATATCATTCAAGTGAAAGAGATGTAACCAAACTACTTGAAATGACTTGTGCCCACTGCAGAAAACACTTAGCTGTTTCATTTGATGGGTTAAGTTTGTTTGTATAAAAACATATTTTTAAAGTGGCCTTAAATGTCCAATGTTACATTTCTTTACACATGTACACTGCCAGGATGGGGACCCATGTTTAAGGGGACAGATTAATCCAAAAATGATTTGGGGCTGAAAGAGCATAGAGTTGTTCATTATTCTTTGGACGGAACTGTACCCAGTCCTATGTTCTCCAAATGCAAAGTATTTTGCACGATTCTTGATCAATTGTGCTGGCTGGCGGTATTATGGGAACTGAAGTCTAATTTTACCGGAATACATCAGATTAGAGTAGTAAAATGGGAACTTGGTTCCGTTAAGACTATTTCCCGGACTTGAAGACCAGTAGTTCTCTTTTTTATGAAATGCAAGGCGTGGTGAAGGAGAACCGCTAGCACTTAGGAGCTTAGTCTCTCGCCACGCAATCAACTACCCCGGAGCGCCAATCTGGCAGAGGGCTATTGTGGACCACGTCATGCAGGATTGGGTGCCCTCGCGGAAAAGTTGAAGCAAGGAAATGGAAACGCGTGATTTCTACTCTGGGAGAGAAACCTTATCCAGGACAACAACCCCTTGCTAACAGCGCGCGTTCTCACCCAGTCCTATCCGTTTCTTGCGGGAGAGAAAGCTAGGATGGCGCCTCCCCAGCTAGGAGCTTTCCAGTAGTGACCACTTCTCCAGTATCAGAATCACCTACCTCAGGAAATTGTGCCCAGTCTCGAAATCCTATTACCATGTGAGGAAAAGGGGGATCCAAGACCTTCCCACCACCCTCTAAATATTTCTGCGCCTCTCGTTTATCCGCTATCTGCCCGGGAATCGGCCTTCCTCTCCATCCCGCACACGGTATAAGCCGGGCAAAGGACGGGCAAACCCGCCTCAACCTGAAGGACGCCGGTCGTTGTAGTCCTCACAGCTCCCGGGTTGCCCTCCCTTGGCCCCGCCTTCCCAGCGTTAAGAAGAGGAAGGCGGGGACGTGCAGCTGTTGGAGGTTGGAATGGTGGAGACTGGCCCTGGAAGATTTAGCGAGGGTGTAAAACAAGAAGGTAAAATGAGCCCCGCACCCCGCGTGTCCTTGGGCACTCTGACTCTGGTTTCCCCCATTTGCTGAAGGAGAAAACCGCAGAGGAAAGCTATTGCTTCGAAACTTGGAACAAAATGAATAGCTGTTGATTTTGCCGACCCCGAATGATTTCGGATTCCAAATATACATAGGGGTCAGAATTTCCAAAGTGGTCTTGCTGTACGCAAAACACTGCAAATCTTATTGGCACGGTTTCTAATTTTAATTCTGAACATAGTCCCGCCCCCCCCCTCCAAAAACAACAACAACTAATGCAATGTTAACTCTGCCCCCCTTTCTTGTTAGATTAACATGCCGTTGGTTTGGCTGTTGAATTAATTCATAGCTCAATTTACCGTAGGGTTTTCTTTACTGTACAAACTTTGTAGCTTATATTGCAAAGGAAGATACTGGAGTTCCATGGAAAGTTAGGAAAATCTTCATTAACCAAGATGTCAAGAAAATTGGAAGGTGAAACAAAATGCTGGAAGAGAAGTTTGGTAGCCACACTTTATTATTTTTTAAAAAAATAAAATGAACAAATGAAGACAAATCTAGAGAAAACTGAATGATTCTGCAAGCAGCTTAGTTTGAAGTGGATTGCAATGAGGATAAAACAGCAGAATCTACTTAAACTCTGCCAATTTTCAAAAGTTAAGCAGAATTGAACTGGTTAATATTTGGTTTGGAACACCAGGAAAAACCAAAATGTGGCGGGACGACCACTTCTCTGTTGTTGCTGAAAAAACCTACATGCATAAGTTGAACCTGACCTGAAGGAAACTATTTCTACTAGACAATAAGCAGTTCCAACAGATGCTGCATGTTTACTTCAGTGGGCCACACCTCAATCCAGGAGGAGCCAGTGAGCAGATATGCCATTCTGAGGACAAGGAGGGGAGAAACAGTTTTTCCAAGGAGTTGCTGAAAGTGATGTTGAAACTGATTAATATGTTCAAGTTAATTTTATTTCACTGCAGACCTATGTTAATTTTTATAACTAGATATAATTTGTCTATATTGTAAGTGTGGGAAGCCCTCCTCCTAGAAAATGAAATATTTTGGGCAATATTAAAGAGGCAGAATATTATATTTCCCTTAAAGGAGAAGAGGAGAAAGATGTTCTTAAAGACAGAAAGGAGCTCCGGCCTTCCTGCCATAGGAAAACAAGCAGAAGCTTGAAGAGGCTGGTCTTTTGGAATGGAGATTTTGTATCCATTCAGAAAAACTGGGCCAATCTATTCATAAGCAATAGACTCCAAATAAGCAACACAGTTAGGCAAGCTGACGAGATTAGCTCAGACAAATACCTAGTATTTGCATTTCCCCTTTTGCCTGAAGAGCCAGCCATGACCCCTATATGACCCCCATAGGAATAGTGACAGCTATTAAAATATTAAGGGACACATTCTTACGCAGGAACAGGCACCTCAATCACAAAGCCCCAAAGAATGTATAAAAACCCACCTATCCCAATCCCATTTTTTCAGCCACCACAGAAACATGCTGCTCTCAATTGAAGTTTTTGGAAAACCAAACAGAGACCTCATTTCCTTGCAGCCTTCCTCCATTATATTTCCAGCATCTTTCTCCCGGCTTGGAACCGGACCAGATTTTTCTTCCAACACAAGCAAAGGGTAAAGCCAGAGGTATTAATTTTCCAAGTTGTCATTTATTCTTAATGTTTGTCAGTGGATAAGCTAAGCATTTATATCATTCTATCAAGCAGTGCTGGTTTTCCAAATTTCTAATCGGGCTCAAAGATATGGTAAAAGTATCTTCAAACAATACAGAAAAATAAAGAATATGCTTCAGTAAATGATCATTTGTATATGGTTCCATGTACATGCGAAAGAAAATCAGTCAGCAAGAGAAGAAAATACTCCTATTTAACACAGAAGAATCTTGCTCTAGAACTTGGGCAAAGTGTCAGTGAAGGAAAATGTGAAATAATAGCTGTCATATTTACTGCTTCTAAAGTGCTTTCAAATCAAAGTACAGTACAAATACACATTAAATCAAGAACCAGCTTTTCTCGATCTGTAATAGCAGATACTAATAACACGGGTACTGAAATGCTTAATCATTCAACAATAGTATAAAGTCCTATATCAGAGGAGCACTTAGCAGTTAAGGGTCTCATCTCTGTGAAGAGATTTCATCCTGCTACTCTGTGATTTAACCGCTACTGTATTGATTTTTTAAAAACCTTGTTAAATATCTTGAATTATCGCAACTACATTTAGATAAAAGCTACTCTTTTTATGTGTGTTCCAACTATTAGCCTCATTTTCCCACAAAGCTTTGGAATAATCTTTCCTGAATCTTAATAGTACTTTGATAGCTGATTCCTTCCAGTGCTTGGGCTAAAAGGAAAAACAGGCAGAACAAGTTTTAAAGAAGAGTAAGTGGGATAGGGAAAGGAAAAAAGTAATTTATGAATCAACCGATGTGAGGAAGAAAAAGGCAGTGGTTCATAAAAAAGTCTCTGACCAACTATTGTTTGCTCCACTCTCCAGCATTTCTCAACCTCAGGAAGCTTTAAGATGCATGGACTTTAATTCCAATTGAAGCCTGTAACTCTTAAAGTTGCCAAGGTTAAGAAACTGCTTTACCCAATTGCAATTTTGCATGTGTTTCTAGACATGTTTCAGATCATCTCTAATTGAAGATATGTGCCTGATATCTGCCATAGAAAGCATGGCAGATTTCAGCCTTCACATGGGGGTGTTCCCCTCCACAAGTGCAAACATCTTGAAAATAACTCTGGAGACAGTGCCTGGAAGGGAGAGAGCATGTCAGCAGCTCTGTATAGTAACCAATAGCAGCCCAGATATTGCCCAGATCAAATTAAAACTTGGCAGAGAAACTACACAAGGCACGGTTGTGCCAGGGCAATTTGAAAAATGCCACGTTTGAAGCAGAGGAGGGAGGCATGATTGCAGGCTTTCTCTGCTGGAAAAGAGAGGAGTGAAGAGTGACATCTCCTGTTCAAACCTGCTTCGTGTGATTGTCAAAGTGTTGCATACCCAAAACCAGTGGTTATGTGGCAGAGCTATAAATATGGGATGCAATAGTAATGACAATAAGATCGTTCTGCTGCTGCTGGCTATGTTATGAACCCCCTGCACACTTATTTTACCACAGAATGGTAAAATAAGGACATGGAGAGATGAAGCAACACAAAAATATTCCTGTTTTCCTGCTGTTTTATCTCTAACTCTCTTTAAGCTATACACTTGGGGTGCTCAACAAACCTTAATATAGCCGGCAATCTGGCTGTACCATCTGGCACAGCATCTTGGGCAAGAACCTTAGAGTCACACCTGTCTTTGCACACCTGTTGTGTGAAGACGCTCTACAACATGTGACCTTACTGCTTTGTTCTCCATCCGTATATTTGTGAAATGAATTAGGATAATATAGAGCAATTTTATGTTGTATGAACTGTGCATTTCACTTCAGAGCTTTTCCAATCTGTTTCAGTTTCAATGTGCATTTCTTCACAAACCTGTTAAGTCCTTTTTCCACATAAATGGACTTTCTAAAAAAATATGTGCCAAATTCCTGCTACTCTAAGTATTAGAAAGAAGTGTTTTAAAACACTAAATATTATTTTTTCATTTTATTATTTTAATTTAGACTTTGTTGTAATGACGAGGCAGTCGAGTTGTTTGATCATGATTATCTTTATTGGAGTATAGTCTTGTATTTATATACATTTTTAGTTATCCTCCATTATTGGTTAACTTTGGTTACTGCTTAACTTTCATTACTGTTTAGTACAGTAATCCATACAATTAATTATCTCTAGTTAAAATCTAACATATGTTTACTTCCCCTCTCTAATCCTCCTTTATCCATAGATTAGTGACTTTGTTTGCCTGAGTTGTATTTGCTTGGAAACATTCTTTATCTGAGGTTTGCCATCCGAGATTGGAACATTCCTGCAATTACAATTCTACATATCCTCGTTTTTTTATTTTAAATGGAGGATTCAAAGATTTATAAATGTATCGCAATTGTAGAGGGTTAAGAGCGGGGGAAGTGGGACAAAACAATGCGAATAAATTTGGAATACATTGAATAAAACAACAGGTTGCAATTAGTACAATAATAATAATTATAGCATAAACGAAAAACTGTCTGAGCCAAGACCAATCAGGGAGCCAATTGTTTAGTCACTCAAAAGGTGAGTAATGAGCATGGATATTATTTTGAATGTATGATTGTAAATTGGCAAGCTCATCCTCAATAGTTTTATTCAAAGAATGAAAATGTACAGCACATCCACGGCGTCCAACTAACGTACAGAACCCTCCCTGACGGGCTAAAAGATAGTCTATGGCAAAATGCTGCTATAAGACATCTTGATTTAAGTCTTCTATTTCATGCTGCAAATCACGAATAATAGCAGCGGTAGCATTGATGGATTTTTCAAGTCAGCAGGTGAGACCAAGAATAGATCGTCTGTATTCTTGAGCAATTATGCCAGGATAAGAGCCTAGAGTAAGGACTCCTGTAACGGCCCCTGCCAATGCATGGCCAAATGTAGAACCAGAAGACAATTGTGTGTCAATAATGACTTCATTACATGTAGGCCCCAGAGAGGAACGCCGCTGTCGAGTTGATGGGAGCGTACCTATTTGAACAGGTAGAGTAAAATAACCTATAGTTGCACATTGATAATTCTGAGGATGAACATTAGTGGCATATTTATCAAAAAAGAACCACATATTAGGATCCTTAAGCTGCCAAACAGTGCATATCGATCCTGTATTAGATTGATCAGAGGCATTAAAAATAGGAAAATTGTCAGGATACATATCAGGAGCTATATTAATTCCATGCAAAGAAGAATTAAAGGTACCTGACAACCAATAGTAGTCAGAACAATAATATAATTTCCTAGTTTTTTTAATATGTGCTGAGCAGCATCATAATCAGACCAATTATGAAGCCAAGTGTGTTTAGCGTGACAACAGAAACACAGACCCCTTGTAAATTGACTAACTTTCAAGTAATTCAATTGCATAGTGGGTGTAGAAAATAGCCAGGAGTGTGAAATAGATTGTAGTTGTGAGACAATAAATGTAGAAGACATGATCAAGTTAGGGGTAAAAGAAATTTGACCAAATGCCATTGGGGGCTCATAGTATAAAGTAATATTTGTGCCATGGGTCATAAACATGTATTGGGCATGACAAACCCACAAATTAGGGTTAAGACGAACCACAGAAGTGTCATTTTGAGCAGAAACACCATTAACCATAAACAAGAAAATACAAAATAAAATGGTAACAGAGTTAGCAGTAATAATAGCAAAAACAGCAGCAACAAGATTTTCAGGAGTCTGAGGTAATGAGGCCTGTTGCAGTTGTTGTTGAGCTTGATATGTAGTAGATTTAACCTGGCCCCAAGTGATGGGTTGCAGGCGCGTCGACCTTGGAAGACGGACTTCCGTGTTCAGATGAAGATTGAAATCCGGAATCGGGTTGTGAAGGCCCTGATCCCATGCCAT